TGAAAATATATAACCACTAGCACGATTAATCGCATCCAAAATAAAAGTTTACATTGTGTGTGTGTACTGTGTATAATGAATTTGTATATATAAATACACACTTATTTATATTTAAGAACTATTTGCATCTATATACTGTATATATAATTTATATTATATATAAATATTTTATGTATAAATAACACATTTTTCTTAAATATATACATGCATGTGTGTGTATTTATATATACAAAATAATTATACACAGTACACACACATGTATATTATGTAAACACACCTTTATTTTGGATTCGGTTGACCCTAGCGCTAGCTGTTCTATGGAAGCTTGTTTCCGCCACAGAATGAAAAATAAAAAAGGTAATTACGACTTTTTATCTCACAATTCTGACTTTTTTTTCTCACAATTGCGAGATATAAAGTCAGAATTGCGTGATATAAAGTCAGAATTGATTGATATAAAGTCGCAATTGCGTGTTATAAAGTCCGAAATACATGATATAAAGTCGCGATTGCGTTATAAATTCCAAAATACATGATATAAAGTCACAATTGCGTTATAAAGTCCGAAATACATGATATAAAGTCGCAATTGCGTTATAAATTCCGAAATACATGATATAAAGTCGCAATTGCGTTATAAATTCCGAAATACATGATATAAAGTCGCAATTGCGTTATAAAGTCCGAAATACATGATATAAGGTCGCAATTGCGTTATAAAGTCCGAAATACATCATATAAAGTCGCAATTGCGTGTTATAAAGTCCGAATGATATAAAGTCGCAATTGCGTGTTATAAATTCTGAAATACATGATATAAAGTGACAATTGCGATATTAAGTCCGAAATGCATGATATAAAGTCACAATTGCGTTATAAAGTCCGAAATACATGATATAAAGTCGCAATTGCGTGTTCTAAAGTCAGAAATACATGATATAAAGTCACAATTGCGTTATAAAGTCAGAAATACATGATATAAAGTCACAATTGCGTTATAAAGTCCGAAATACATGATATAAAGTCACAATTGCGTTATAAATTCCGAAATACATGATATAAAGTCATAATTGCGTTATAAAGTCCGAAATACATGATATAAAGTCACAATTGCGTTATAAAGTCAGAAATACATGATATAAAGTTACAATTGCGTTATAAAGTCCGAAATACATGATATAAAGTCACAATTGCGTTATAAATTCCGAAATACATGATATAAAGTCACAATTGCGTTCTAAAGTCCGAAATACATGATATAAAGTCACAATTGCGTTATAAAGTCAGAAATACATGATATAAAGTCACAATTGCGTTATAAAGTCCGAAATACATGCTATAAAGTCACAATTGCGTTATAAATTCCGAAATACATGATATAAAGTCACAATTGCGTTATAAAGTCCGAAATACATGATATAAAGTCACAATTGCGTTATAAAGTCAGAAATAAATGATATAAAGTCGCAATTATGTGTTATAAAGTCAGAATTGTGAGATGTAAACTCGCAATTGTGAGAAAAAAAGTCAGAATTGTGAGATCTGTATTTTTATCTGCAATTCTGTATTTTTTTCTCGCAGTTGCGACTTTATTTCTCAGAATTCTGACTTCATATCTCGCAATTGCGAGATAAAAAGTCGCAATTTTTTTTATTTTTTATTATTCAGTGGCGGAAACAAGCTTCCATACTGTTCTCATTGTATAATCCCTGTCATGTCATTTCTCTTACAGTAACGGTTTCAATCCCTCTTCTAATATCTATGTAAGTGTTGACCGGTTGCAGTGTGTTTCCAATCTCTCATGCGAGACGATATGAACTCTCCTCTTATTCAGTGGCAAGCAGACGAGCGCTTAAGTCGATTTCTCAGCTGGTCTGAGTGAATAGCCATAGAAATGCTTTATTATTTTTGTAGATGTGGACCAATATCACGGTTTTAACGCTGTTCCCCACTGTACACTTGTACCGCTCATCGTGTGCATTCCTCCTGTGTAAAGGCGAGGCGTACCGTAGCTCTTGACAGCGCCTCACATTAAAATCTACTGTTTATCATGCAAACGCTGTGTGAATCTCTCCACGCTTCAAGCGCTTTTCTTTTTGTTGTTTATTCCGAATTGTCATATTTATCACATTTGTGTGTTTTTTTTTTATCACATTTGTGCTTGCTAAGACTCACCCTTAAGGTTAGGAGTTTATTCAGATTTTCTATGTAATGCGTTAGAAAACTTTACACACACTTTTGCATTCCCGGGTCTGTTTGGACCCGGTGGAACGTAAGCTTAAAATACAGTCATATTTTTCAATTAAAACCATATTGTGTCTAATCAGCAACTTCTCATTAATGAGTGAACGCACAAATGTTTTCAATGTTACCATCTACCTTTTATTAATTAAAAAAATTAAGAAATTCTCGGTAACACTTTACAATAAGGTTCATTAGTTAACATGAACTAATAATGAACTGCACGTATACAGCATTTATTAATCTTTGTTAATGTTAATTTCAACATTTACTAATACTTTATTAAAATCTTGTTAACATTAGTTAATGCACTGTGAACTAACAATGAATATTTGTATTAACTAACATTAACAAAGATTAACTAATACAGTAACAAATGTATTGCTCATGGTTAGTTAATAAATTAACTAATGTTTAATAAATGAACCTTATTGTCAAGTGTTACCCAAATTTAAGATTTTTCAAGAACTACAGCAAAACCAGTGTGATGCAGTTTTATTAATATTTATGAGAAGTTTTATTTCAATATATCCTATGAACCTATGAGAATTACCACTATGAACTCCATTGAATTTAAATTAATTTGAATTTATGACTGCTCAAAACAGTCTAAATGTGTGAAACCTACATATTCTTTTTCTAACAAAACACCATCAATATTACTTGCATAGATTTTTACTTTAATATGAAGAAATGATGTTGCAATTGTTCATCAACAGGAGGCAGCAAAGTCAAATGTGGACTTTTCTTTTCCAAACCCTCTTTTTCACATTTAGACTCTTTTGTCTGTGAACACATTAGGACATTCATTTGTTTGTCATTTTATTTTAATTTCAGAATTATTGCGTGTTTTGCATGCGTGACATGAACAAAACGCAGCCGCAGTGGGAAGAAAATGTGTGTGAGTGACGAGTGTAGGAAAAGCTAAATGTAATTTGGGACAAATCCGCCATAGGTGGGGTCAGAGGTCACCCTTCCGCCGGGACTCGGCTCTCTCGTGAACGCATGTACGGCCATTACTGGAAGCCATTGATTATAGTTCATAAAGTTTTAAATATGGATATTTTTCTTACAAAAACCCACGGCTTCAGAAGGCCGTTATTAAACCAATGGATTCATTTTATGTAAAAATATGCGCTTTTTTGAGCTTTAAAAACTCAGGCGCTAATCACTCCCATTTAAAAAAAAAAATGTATTCAATATTCATAAAAGCTTACAATGACATTTAACATCAAACATAATACAAACAGACATAAAATATTAAATTCTACAAACTATGTTTTTCAATATATGAGATGTTTTTATGCACTTCTTATTTCTAGTGATTGAATTCAATGAGTCATGGAATATTTTAAGATCTTTACAAAAAATAATAAAGGAGGGAGTTGTAATAATCACTCCCATTATAAAGCTGGGAATTTTCGGGCGAACTATTACTTTAAGTGGTCATAAAAAAAAAGTTATGCAAATATTTTTTGCATAACTCAAAGTAATCCTACCAAACCGCACATAAAATCCATTCATCCATGTTCCAAACTGCATATAACCCACATAAAATAATAATAATAAATATTATTTATAATAAAACTGTCCTAGACTGTATGCCAAGTGCAGTATATACTATAAATTCAATGATTATGCACCAAAGCAAGACCATATATTATTATATGTTGCTATTCCTGTACGGATTCTGTTGCTTATTCAGAGAATGGATTTAAACCATCAATGGTTTTAGCAAACCGTCTTGACTTTTCAATTAAATCCCATGATATGAATTCTTGAAATCAACAATTGAATTTGAATGGTATAGCCTGCTATGGTGACATTTAAAGTCCCCCTGTGGTGAAACTCCAGCTTTTAATGTTGTTTAGTGTCTTTGTGGTGTTTTTAAAATGCTTTAAGACAAACCATGTGTAAGTTCATAAGTCGACAGCATTGCTGAGTATTTTCTGCTTAAAACTGCAGTGAACCAAAGACAGTCTCAAAAACACGGTTTAAAATCGCTGGTGTTTCTGACGTCACAAACGACCTTGTAACCAATCAGATCAACGTGTGATCGTCAACCAGTGGATCTCTGAGCCGAGTGAGTGAGTGGAGGCGGGGCTCATTTGCACATTCATAGAGCCACGCATACTAAATGAGGTGAGAGTGTCGAGTTACATTCAAGCTATTTTATAGCATGAAGACATTATTTTCAAGGAGAAAATGCTGTAACTTTGGTGATCAAAGATGAGTTTTAAGAGGAACATTATTGACTACAGAGGTACTTAACTAGTGAAAATACAATTACAGATATCAAGAATTACAGTTTTTACTTGGTGAAATTTAATTCTTGATATCAAAATTGCGAGTGATGACGTCATTGTTGATATCAATAATGAACATTTTTACTAGTGGAAATGTAATTCCTGATATCAAGAAAATCACATCCTTGGAATGAATGATAAAAACGCTTGCCATAAACTCAAAAAAAAAAGGCTAAATATGAATTGGTTTGGGTCAAATATGGACAAATCCAACCGTTGGATTTGTCTAAATTGGACCCAAACATTTGTTTAGAGTGTATATGGCAAGGGCAAACTTGTGTTGAGGGTTGTGTTTATGGATTAGGCCATATAAAATATTATTAACCTGATTATAAAGTCAATGGAAGTCACTTATAGTGAAACAAACGCGCGCGCGCTGTGTGTGTGTGAAGAAATGTGTGTGTGACGAAAGCTCAGCATAGTGACGCAGTGTCTGTGTGCGCGCGGTCGGAGCGCGCGACTCCACCCAACGGCCAGAACTGAAGCACAAAACAACTTTCGCGAGCGCGGCGCGAGTCATGGCGTCAAAGAAGATCTCCTGAAGAACAAACTGCACAAACTCTCACCAAAAGCCCCTAACAAGCCATCGACGACCGTCTGGATCTAATATAAACAACAAAAAAGTCCACTTTACGAAGGAATCATGGTTACCGAGTGTCGACTTTAAAGCTAGCAGAGCGCAGCTAGCTCAAGAGTTTGGCGTCGCGAGGAGTTACGCGAACAGTGTAAATATAGTGTAAATATCTAATTTAATACAGAGTAGTGTGAGGAAGCGAGCTGTAAGAGTCTCCGCGAGAGTTTGCTGGTGTGTAGTTTGCCTGTGGACGGGTGGAGATGGCTCAGTCACCGGTATCTGTTCAAGTTCCTGGAATGCAGGTGAGTTGGTGTGGATAGGTAACGACAGGCCATCATCATCATCACCTTCATCATCGGCTAATCCGCATTCAGACTTTAATACACTCATGAATCATCTATAGCACACCTTTACATTAGTTTCTGTCAGTTCAAGACACACTTGCTGGTTTTATTCAGCCCTAATATAAACACTAACAAAAAGTACTATCGTATTACCATATTTTTGTTGTTGTTGACATGTAATGTAAAGGCAATGCTTTTCTCCATGTACCATGGCACTCTTTTAAATTCATTAAAGTGCTATAAATACCATGGTACATGAATAACCCAATAACTACCCAAGTTTTTTTAATTTAGTATTTTTTTATGTCATTAACGTTACATTTGTTAAGAGCATTTTTGAAAACAGATATTTTGTTCATATGTTGTGCTGTCCTCTGTAGTGACACCAGGACTCATTTGTTTAAAAAAAATGAAAAGACACGTATAGGCAAAAACAAATGTGATTTGTCTTTTTTTTTTCATTCAGCAATACATTTTTAGGTTTCAGAACTTTGTATAAAGATGATTCTCAACTATGTTATGATAGACATAATGGAATGAATATATACTATTTTACTTTATGCAATATCTGGGTAAAATTGCCATAAATGTGTTTTCCTATCCAATACAATGTATCTATACACTATCTAATCTACATGTTAATGTGTTCTTGGGTAAAAATATAATGAAGAAAAGAAGTGTAATAATTGGCGACATTTCCATAATAATATCTAATATTTCATAGGAATATTGATACATAATTTCACTTGTCTCCCAGAATGCCTGATAATCCTGCTGTAAGTCCTGGTGTCTCTACAGTGTTCATGTATGAAATCAATGCAACGTTTTATAACAGAAAGTCATATTTTGATTAGAAACCCAAACCCCATAGCATTCTCCAGAGATGTTGATTTATGACAATTTGAAAAGTAGTCAGATTTAAATGATAATTACAAACTACTATCATATTTCCATAAGTGCCAAATTTGATCACTAAATTAATTCCGGTCATTTTTAAAGAACAAGGAGAAGTTGTTGTGATGGTGAAACCTATTTGTCTTTACATGACATTCACACTTAAAACTGTGACATATGTTATATATATATATATATATATGTATGTATAATCAGTATCGGTAAAAAAAATCCTATCAGTGCATTCATAATACAAGGCCGATATTTTGACCGATACTGATTTTAACAAACAACTATTGGTCAACTTATTTGAACTTTTGTCATTAAAATAGATTACTGTTTTGTTCATGATTTAAATTAGCAACATTCAAAAACCCCATACATTAAAATATACAAGATAGTTTATTGCTGCATCATAAAATAATTTCTATTGAACATGGATCCATTTAGCATTCAACAGGTATATATAAATACAACAGATCAGAGATGCATTTGAATAAACAGTGTTTTTCAGCAAGGTCTAACTAGTTTTCAGGTACAGAAATACAGTAAGCAAATGTAAAATATATTCTTCATTGTAAAAATTAAATCCTTATTTAATCAAGAGTAGTGAGCAATGTTGTTTGATTAACATTATTATAGAGACCGCAGGAATATTAGGCTACTGTCACTTTAAGAGATCCAATTCACTGATACACATGTTTTATTTCTCAACTGTTTACGTTCACTTAATACATAAAACATGGACATTTGGATACAATTTTGAGTGAAAGAGAACTCAATTCAGTATTTGCGCTCTGGCTTTTTCCCCTAGTTGTTGAGCCCTGCTGTATTTTGTACAGATTTCATTTAGTTTTAGCAAGTATTTAATTATATAAATATATTACACAGAGCTCGACATTAATGTTTGTCCGGGACAAGTGGATTTTTTAAAGGGGCAAGTGAAGAGAAATTTACTTGTCCGACCGGACAATTACACTAATTAAAACGCCAGTAACAAAAAAAAATAACTAGGGAAACGCCAAAACGCGATAACAATTCTGCATTCATTTAATATAAGCGGCGATTGATAGTCAATAATAATAATATATAATGTAATGACGCTGATGGTAATAAATCAATCTCATGATATTATTTAATGTGAATAATTTAGTGTCAATTATTTAATTTGATTGGTTACAACAATATAGTGTCGTCTTATGTCTTATTATTCTAATTAAATTAATTGATTATTGAATTTAAGAATTTAAAATGAAAGCTAAAGCATATATTTAATAAGATTAGGGGAAAAATGCCCTTAATAAAGGTAAAAATGTCACGAATATGCAGATGTAAATTTGTCAAAACTGATTGAACACTGATGAGAATATTGCTTCAGAATAAATTGTATTTACAACACACAAAAAAACGCTATTTATTTCCCGGAAAATTAAATTTTTTACTCAGCTTAATGTCGAGCCCTGATATATGTATATATATATATATATATATATATAAAAAAATTTTTTTAATTATTATTATATATTGTTTTATTTTTAAGGTCATTATATTAATGAGTCATTTATGTAGCGCTTTTGTTTGTCATACTCATATGACAAACAAAATGTATCTAATATGTAGTTATTTCCGAGAGCGGTTTATCCAGTCGACTGTATGTTTGTAAGGAGGATATTGTATAGAAGTATTTTTATTTATACATTTTGCTGATGTTTTCTTATTCATATGTGATTAGTCACTGAGCCGAATTGTAGTGTATATTTGTAAATCTCTAACACACACCTGGTCTAGTGATGGAGTGGATGTTCGTTGTGTGTAACGTGGAATCCGCTTCCTAAAGGCGTGCTAGTGTTCGCTCCTGATCGCTAGCCTCTGCGCGCGTCAGCGTTAGCTGCGTATGATCTAGGACAGTGATGTAATCCCTATCGTTTAAGCCTTTGTGTGTGACAGCAAGAAATAGCCTCACTTGCAGCACAGGAAGACAGGAAGTGTGAATGTGGTTCTGTGTTGTGGCCGATGTCACAACTTCACACTCGTCAGACGCTTGTAACAGAACCGAGAAACCCAGAACTTCACCTCTGTTCCTTTTCTAACAGCAAACCGGGATCAGAAAGGTTAAACGCCACAGCTATTCCCCCTGGAATAACACACTCTTCTCTGCTATGACAACTAAGCAGAACAGTACGTTGCTGGGTTTGTATCGTTAATCATTACGCAGCACAGCTGATGGGTAACTCTGCTCATTAATGTAACACTTGTGGCTGGCCTTTTTAATGTTTGTTTTATGAGATTCCCTAAGGTTTAAAGTGCAGTTTCGTCCCTTTTAAATAGGCTGCGCCATTGTCCATTCATAGAGGTGATGTGCTAATCGCTCCAGAAGCACGAAGGAGTGTGTTTTAGGCGTAGCGTCGGGGTGTGTCCCGCGAGGAAGTGTTTCACACACTGGTTTGGCGCCTGAGTCAGCTCCACAGGTACAGGGAAAGGGGAGCCGGCTCTGAAGGAACATGATCAAAGCTTGTTGTGTCATGTTGCTTGTACCCACGTGCACTTGCTTCATTATCCACAATGCATTTCTGCAGGCCCTGAGGGATTCTGCTTTGTGTTTGTCTAGCCGTCAGTGGAGGAAAATACGTCCGGCTGATGAATCTTGTGGGGGTACATGCACACACACACACACACACCCGCCCCTGGGAGCTTGTTAACATGCAGATAGCCTAGTCATCAACGCACCAGAGGTTTATCAGAGGGACGCACACATGCAGGGAAGCGGGATAAAGCGCTTTGGAGATGCCCGGTTTAATTGGATATAAGATCTAACTAGATGAGCAATGTTCAGTTTCAAAGTAAAACATTTTACCTAATAACCTGTGACTGCACATTATTTACATTTATAATACAAGCAAAAAATGTATCATGATATTCTTAGAATTTTAGTAGATCATTAGTCAAGTCACCTTTATTTATATAGCGCTTTTTACAATACAGATTGTATCAAAGCAGCTTCACAGTGATAACATGAAAATAATACAACAAAGTTTGTTTCTAGAAGAAAATTGCGTCAACGTCCACCTGAAGTAAGGCAGATCAATAATATTATTGAATATTAAATGTCCCCAACTAAGCAAGCCAAAAGCCAAGGCAACAGTGGCAAGGAACCAAAACTCCATCAAGTGACAGAATGGAGAAAAAAACCTTGGGAGAACCCAGACTCAGTCAGAGGCCAGTTCTCCTCTGGCCAACGAAGGAACAGTGCATGATTCGGGCAGCATTACAAGTCAGATTGGATCGGAACATTTAGAGCATTTATCCATTTCCATCTTTTTGGAAGTCCAAGTAATCACGCCGGTATTGAGAGGAGTTGTTGAGGATCAGTGCCGTCCACCATAGAGGGTCCATATCGCCCGTGCTGAGTCGTCTCTTCACAGGCTTTGTGATTGGGGCATCTGAAGTCTCCGTGAGAGGCTGGATACAAACTGGAGCTGACGAACGCCATTTGCCTCGGGACTCGCGTCCCGAGATAACAGCAGAAAAGCAAAAAGGGAAAATAATTAGCGTAGCTGCTGTTCATAATGATTTCCATAACACGGGCGTAGATGATAAAAACATGAAGACAGTGACTCTTGCGTCCCAGAGTCACGCATCATTAGGAATGCGAATTCTTTTAACTGATTAAGGTGCCCCTATTATGCTATTTTAAAGGCTCCAAATTTTGTTTTAGATTCTCCTACAACAGGTTTACATGCATTAAATGTCAAAAAACAGTTACATTTTTTCATAATATACATTGCATATCAGATGGCCCAGTCTGTTGTGATTGGTCTACTCTGCTCTGATTGGTCAGATGGCCCAGTCTGTTGTGATTGGTCTACTCTGCTCTGATTGGTCAGATGGCCCAGTCTGTTGTGATTGGTCTACTCTGCTCTGATTGGTCAGATGGCTCAGTCTGTTGTGATTGGTCTTCTCTGCTCTGATTGGTCAGATGACCCAGTCTGTTGTGATTGGTCAGATGGCCCAGTCTGCTCTGATTGGTCAGATGACCCAGTCTGTTGTGATTGGTCTACTCTGCTCTGATTGGTCAGATGGTCCAGTCTGTGTTGTGATTGGTCTACTCTGTTGTGATTGGTCTACTCTGCTCTGATTGGTCAGATGACCTAGTCTGTTGTGATTGGTCTACTCTGCTCTGATTGGTCAGATGGCCCAGTCTGTTGTGATTGGTCTACTCTGCTCTGATTGGTCAGATCGCCCAGTCTGTTGTGATTGGTCTACTCTGGGTCATCTGACCAATCAGAGCAGTCTGTTGTGATTGGTCTACTCTTCTCTGATTGGTCAGATGGCTCAGTCTGTTGTGATTGCTCTACTCTGTAAGTTTCCCGCTGACAAGCTTTATTTAACATCACGTATCCGAAGTATCCGAAATACTCTGAGTCAGATACGCAAATGATAGTTTCGTCATCACACAGGGGCATGGCCTGATCAAAGCGCTTTCCCGTTTTAGATGTGTTTTGTGTGTTTTTCGCGTCAATCACGCTTAAAACAAATGCTGCCGCTCAGTGTGACACAAAACTTATCACACAGGCGCGAGTGCCAAACTGAGAGACATTGGGTACTTTGGTGTCTACCTGCGCTTGAATATGGCCAGGCTTAAAAAACACGCACAAATGATCAACTTCTGTGAAGATGCGGCGCTGGCCCGAGTGTCTTTCACGCTGGCCCCGGGCCATCATGCAGTCCTTATTGTTGAGCCCTGCAGTATATATGGTTTTTACAACTACATCGCCAACGCCTTATGAACTGTGCTTCCCATTGTGCCTATCAAACACCCTTTAATAATGAATTCCGCATCACTTCTCATTATAATCTTTCTTGTAAATTCTGTATACCGTTTACCGCACAAATACAAGTACCATATAAAATGTGGCACTATTTTTAACCACCACAACAAATTAGTTGTCGATGTTCTTGCATAAAGTATGTTTCTGGCCTTATAGTCCAAAATGCATGCAGGGGCTTGTAATAAAATTGTAAAACCCACTGCAGTTTTAAAGCCCCTCTTGTGAAATGGCTTGATGAGTGCAGTTTTACTCTTCGTTGAAGCATTTCCATTTGAAACCAAAGTCTGTCACATCAATACGAAGCCCTATAGTGTAAGGGATGGAGGTAAAACTACTGACTCCAGTAAAGGTGGTTCGAGTGAGATAAACTGAATATTTAATGAGGAAAAATAAAGGACAGGGCTTGATTTGACTTCTCTGTGGATTAACTTGCAAATGAATGGTTTAACACAACACAGGACTAGTAGTGTTCATTTTGATTTCATGCAGACTTTTAAGCTAATAAACAGACTCAAAACTACACCACTTTACTATGTGCCTCTTTTATATTGTTATCAGTATTGACTGGAAGTTGGATTCACTTCCCCATCCAGTGAAATAACTGTACTTGCAATAGTTGAACAGCTTGTTTGTATTTGGTTCATAGAGCTCCCCTCCCAAGTGTTTCTTTGAATATTATTGACTAACCTAGTGTAGCATTGGCATTCTCTCTGATTGGGCTGGACTCTGGGCTTCTGCGTGATGATTGGAGGGTCTGTCGAAAGACTGCATCTCCTTTTGATTGATAGTGATTTTTTACTATAAAAAGCGGTCACCGTGATTTTGCCAAGTAAGACATGGTCCTGGATCAACATATTTTGTTTATCCTGGATCAACATTCCTGTCCCAAAATGTAGTCCTTACCCAATCCCTACCCCTAAACCTAACCCTACCCATAACTTTTCCCTAAAATCAGAGGGTAATGAAAGGTGAATGACACTGATGTGTAAGTACTTCACCCTGGTTCTAAGCTTAAACTTGACATAAACTGTAAACTTGTCCCTCAAATCTGATTGGTTGATTGGAAAGTTGATCCAGGATCAACAACGATGTTGATCCAGGAACATGTGGTACTTGGTGAAATCACGTTCACCATAAAAAGCCGCTGAAGCTATTCGAGCTCAGTGCCATCGTGGATTTTGCAAGTGTAGTCGAAAGACAAACTGCTGCAACCTTTTCTTGGTATTTGCTTGGCGAAATTGCCAGCCAATTTTCATCATACATTTCACACAATTATACACCACATTCCTTGTTTCAGTTTAACCTAATTCCCACATTTCCCCCTGCTGGCCATTGAATGGACACACATAGGGCAGAGTTTACGTATAGATAAATGGACAATTTTTATGATGTAGGCCGAAAATGAGCTTCCCCTCTTTGAAAGACCAGCAGCCGCCACTGGTTTATACCTATTTATCTAACCTAGCCAACTCAAACTAACCCTGTGTAACTTTTGTATTGCAGAACAGTCGAACAGACCCCGAGGAGCTGTTCACTAAACTGGAGCGCATCGGGAAGGGCTCGTTCGGGGAGGTGTTTAAAGGCATCGACCGCCGCTCTCAGAACGTAGTGGCCATCAAAACCATCGATCTCGAGGAAGCAGAAGATGAAATCGAAGACATCCAACAGGAGATCACCGTTCTCAGCCAGTGTGATAGTCCTCATGTCACCAAATACTATGGCTCTTACCTAAAGGTATGGATTGATGTTTTACTGTTTCACACATTAGCTGTAGCACATTGCTAGTAGGTTTGTTACAATACCAAAA